GTGACCTCCTCGCCTTAAAGAAGACATCCAACTCGCAATGCCTGGTATGTCCGTTGTTCGGCATGGTTGATAATGTGTTGGTTGGTGACTCTGTACTTCCGCAGTGACATCCAATGTGACCCCATGGAGGATTCAGTAGGGGATCCACTTTGTTCCGTCTACATTCAGAAGTCGACGACATATGCTTGGTGAAGGTCGTTTACCGCCCGCTCCTCCACGTCCGTGAACGACTAATATCTAGGCTCCGATTAGAGGCAGGTGAAAATCATTAATTACGGTCACATGGTTAGTACTGCGGATTGCAACATCCATAATCTGAAATCCCAAGTCGCCGTTGGAGAGTAGTAAAACTTATATCTAAATATGCTCTCCAGGTTCCCACTGCATGATCACGTCAACAATCCCACTCGATTCGAAGGAATATATAAGCCATCTTTACTGGATTTTATACTCCCGGAAGAAGAACTGCTGGTGGAGAAGGTGACCTTCGACGTCCCATCGGTCGCAGTGATCACGTAGCACTACACTTCGAATAAATTTACCATGCGAAATATTGCGTGGAATGCACCCACGCAATAAAAGCGATTATACCTCAGCACAAATTACTGTGATAATGCTTAAGACCAGGTTTCAAAAAGCAGTATACAATGGCCATCACAAAGTTTACACTCTAAGAAGCTAAGGATGGTGAAGAACGCAAACCTGACAAGCTACATATCAGTACCATTTCTCGTAGGTAGAAAAATAAAGTAACTTTTGTTAACCCGATCCTAAACAATGAAAGATCTTCAATGTCAATTTCGTATGCTCTCATGGTATTACTGCAAAAGATGTGCTTCAACCCGAGCTGATTAACAAAGAAAACAATTAAGTACGAACCGTTGAGATTAAACACACTGTTATATGCTACCAAATCGGGAGAACTCTGCCAGCATTCTCGCAAAGATCTGATAACATTACACTAATTCTAGCCAAACATTCAAGTCCAGACTTCTCCTCTTTCTTCTCAATGTTTTATTTATTCCATGGTTAAAGGGGATATTCCTTGCACTAGAACCAATAAATTATAATGCCGTGACACAACAAGAGTTCTACGCAAGATGTAAAAAATTATCACAAAATCCACCACACATCTATTATCTCCAGAACCTTGGCTGGTTAATAAATACAAAACGGAATACTTTAGTCTTGGGAACTATATCTGGAAACTTAGCACGGTTTTCGTTTGTTAATTCATGCACCACCTCTCAGTCAGATAATTTCGATTAAGTGATTTTAACAGGAGACGTCGGAAGTGCCATCGTTGTAATTTTTCTTGATACCCAAAAGACGTTTGAGCGTGCCTCACTCAACTTGATGCGAAGGATGCATGTCTTATGCTATCTCGAATTTGCTTCTGCATTGTTTGTGTTCCTAACTCAATCGTAGAAAGCAACTAGTCAGAATTGGTAACTACACGAGGTAAATGCAATATCTAGTAGACTGATTCAAGGTATCGTGCTAGGCCCGCTTTTATTACTAATATAAGTTCAAGAATTTCCGGAGGATATAATATTCAGGAAGGCTTTACTCTCGGTGATAATATCATAATTATGCATTGTTTCACCTCTCTTTTAGATAATCCCAATTTAGCCAATATTCAGTCAGACGTATTCGCATTTGAGTATTGGACTAACTGCTGATAGTTACAGTTCGCCACTGACAAGTGTAATCTATTGTACCACGGTTGTGAATTTTCTCGTAACAGTCTCGCCTTAAGTAACACTCCCATTCCAATGCGTGACCCAGTTGTAGACAGTTATTTGAGATATTCTGCCACATTTACTTTGTGAGACCATTATATTTTTCCAAGCATTTGTCAGAAGGACGATCGCCTACATAGACAGAACTATTAGATAGTGGGAGTCCAGTCAAAGATCAAGCATTTAGCTCAGATTTTCGGACACGGCTTGTCAATAGTAAATATGGCTGAGTATGACAAGAGCTGTACTGATGGCTTTGGTGGTTGTAGCAGCAGTAGCAAACTAACTCCATCGTAATCGTGTATAACAAGTCACCTAATAAGCGAAAATCATGTACTTCACGCGGATAATGGTGACCAGTAAAGTTAGTTGCGTCACAGCACGGGAGAGCTGACTCCCATATCCACAAACAAACGCCTTCCATGCAACTTCGATCAATACAGGAATGATCAAGCACTCAGTGTGTCCCAATAAAATCGACCACTGTGTTGAGACTGCAACGTGAACCCTACGAGTGCAGTGCCAGATAACCGAAGTCCAGAAAGCAGGGCAGTTTGTGGATATTAACTCGGGCCAACCTACACACTTTTTGAGGTATCTTCAAGAATCCCTGTCACGTTGCACCCTACTCTTCGCAACGTATTTGTGAATTTAGACGTCTTCATCATGCGTCTTTCGCCTGGTTAATTTTTGCATCAAGCTTCCTGCTTCTGCTTTGGGTCACGATTTCTCCGCATTCCTATGCACTCTTCACCCATACACCTACTACTCTTCAGTAGGGCACCAAACATGAAATACGATTCAGTTAGTTGAAGCTTTTTACATAACCCACCTTTTTCCGGCTCGAAAGGAAATCTGATTCGTTCCGACATGCTTGAAAGAATAACAAAGTATGTGACGCTAAAGCATTACATATTTCTTCTGAAGTTTGCTCTCTAACTATATTTGAGTACCCCATTAAAACAGACACGATGGTTGAAACTGTATAAGTTGATCGACTACGAGCACAACGATGCCCGTGGCGACGGAACGGATGAAATTAGTACTGATTGTGTCAGTATCCCTTCTCTGAGTTGTACCCACATCTCCACGCACACTGTGCAGTGAGATAATTTGGAGATCAGTTTTGCTGCTGGGTCTTTGACCTTGTTGTGCATTGCGCAGTGACATTTTGCAACCAATCGATAGGTTGACAGGATGCGCAGTGCTCAGAAGGTCGTCCTTCGTTTTGTGCATCCGATAAAGTGCTTGCAAACGGGTTGAAAATTCCAATGAAGTTGACAAATAGGCCAAACCGACATTGTCAACGATTGAACTAGAGTTGGTATGACTGGGAAACCACATCTTTAAATGATCGAGCTTTTCGGAGCTGGAGTTCCTAAGGTTGCTTATGTCGTTGCGTTTGGTTTTGTAGTAAGCGCTTCGATAGCAAAGGACTCCTTTCTCTGCATATATCACTGAAGTTGGGATACCGTCGATTTGGACTGGTTAGCAAGCAGACATACTAAGCAACACCAAGCCAAACTCTTTCTATTATTTATGCAAACATTTCCATCCTTTCTACCTCCAAAAGAAGTATCTTTAAACCATTAAGCTCCAAGTACACGATAAGGCAGGATAATCCGCTATTGTTGCAGGCGGCAGTTCACACCGTCAACCGTCGTCAGTTTCTTTTGAGCGGCCTTACATTTTTCGGTTGTTCGTACACATTGACAGATAAAGCAACTTCACTTTGTGGTGCAATAATATCGTAGGATGATAAAGCTAAAATCCTGCTAATGCGCAGCGGTACAATCAATGTAAGAAATACTTGGGTACGGATGTAAATGCAAATACCTCTAGTATATTGGGGGGATTTTCCAGGGGTACTTTGCGTTCTGCGAAGACCTATAAAATATATTTAGTTTTATGCATCATCTGATTGTTCTTTAAGATGGATAACCTAGGTGCATCAATTATGTGGGTTGGTAGATTTTCCTGCGGCCGATAAATGCAGGAGGGGTTGGTGGGCTGGAGACATTCCAACGGAAGTTATTGCACGACCAAATTCATGAGGTGACCTTTTGGTTTAGCGTTACGAAGGAATCTCAAGAGAAGGCAGAAAAGCAAATGGGTTTACAAATTTATACAGGTAAGAATGACGATACTCAGTGGACAACAATCCATTGATACGCATACGTACGGCTGCCAGCTGACTCTGCCTCAGATGGAAAGACAAAACATTATTAGTTGAAATTCAAAATTACATATCGCATGTAGTGAGGTCGCGGTTTTACTAGGGTTGCTCCTCATATCTCACCTGGCTACGTAAGCGCGCCAAACTTATGGTAATGACTGAAAGCGTCAGCCACCTAAATGCATATCTGGAGATCACAGAGTGTGGGTTAGTGGTTGTTGACATTTCAACCCCATCAATGTAGCTAGTAGATTGCGGAGAAATTTGCAGCAATATATTAGCCTTGCTAACTTTGGCGGTTTGTTCCTGTTCTACTCTAGAATCTATTCGTGTTATTGTTTTAAACAGAAATAAAGCGTGCACCGACTATGCGGAAGCAGTTCAGCTGTCGGTTTGGAGGATAATTGTGACGAGTCTATACCAGGAAGAAGCGATTATGCGGCCTATCCAACAGTGACCAAGTATCTGGTTCACTGTACACAATTGTGCTGTTAGCAAGTGAACCATATCCATTGCTGTTCGGCTACTATATCGGGCATCCATACGAACTTCAACCTGAATTCCTCCAACATTACACTAGTCCCATCCGACCAGTTTAATGTGTCACTGCTCTCAACCAATTGGGTAAAGCTCGTCGAATTACTGGTGTGCGGATATTACGCGTGCGCAAACGAAGGTACTTTTTGACTTTAGCAAATCTGGTATGAATCGGCGTAATTTCGGAATTCGTAACCTAGACGACACAATTGAACATGTCTGAACTGGGTCACTGTGCTACAAAAAAACGCAGAAAACACTGAATTCGTTGGTACTTGTGCAACTGACGATATGCGGCATTGTGCAGTATAGAAACAACGTGGTCCCACTTGCGAGACACTAGCGTTGTTTGTTGAACGAAACATTCGTTTTCTTGCTTGTTCAGTGAAATCACAGGTACATTTGTACACTCAACTTTCTAAGCAACGAAGTTATGTTTATGGGTCTAGTAGACGGCGTTCTGGCGGTTTGTTGGGAGAAAGGTTTCCGTAGGTATAGAGCAACAGGGGTTTTACGACGAATGTTCGAACATAGTGCATCCTGTGTTACTGGGAGAATCGTTCACGCCTATGATCACTACGTAGCTGAAGGAGAATTAATAAGTTCTTTAGGTTTATTTGCTATTAACCTGGCCTGAGAGATGAAAGGCTGGTCTTGCCATGGTCAGGTATATCTGTTTGTCAGCGATTTCGCAATGGTAGCTAAAACTGTGGATAAAGGAGGCGCTTGTTTTCAAAACTTCTGCCGCTAAAACAAAACACAGGGACGCAAGCAACCTCAGGACCTCTAGCTTCCAAATCACCGCTCAGTGACAGAGATGGTTTCCTTTGTCCAGCCGATGGAGTAACAGACGTTATCGGGTTAGCACATTTTGTCCAATTCATCGTCTTGCTGTCCATTGGAATTGTCAGGTTAAACCAAAATAATTGCCGATTTGCGATTACTGTGCGCTATGTTGATTTATCGATTGGTTGAGAATGGACACTGCGCAATGCACCAAACGCCATCCGCCTACCAGGGAAGGTGGCTCTTCAAAAGAAGCACACACACACTGTGTAGGTAGCGAGATAGGTGAGTCTTAGACGTTTTATAGAGGCCACAATGACGAGCAAATATAGACATGCAAGCCGCCGACAAAGTAGCAGACATGACTTTCCGACACAGCGCATAGGTGGTTGCTGTCCATTTCGTCGTCACTACTTCGTTTTACTCACTGCCAACAAATTAAGCAACTGGATCATTGGCATGACTTTTTAATGAGTTACGCAAATAGCATCATGTGGTTAACACATGTTTGGGACAAAATCCTGTTGAAAGTGCGTCACCACATTTATTTCGATGGATGTGGTATCTCTTGCCGTCGTACAATTCGCGGAGCAATAAGGCAATTCGCAACCAATCAGTTTTGTTCGTGTACTGCGAATATTTGAGCTATGTAGAAGGTCTGATGTTCTGTGACTTGTTCTCAATAAACGAAAGTAGAATGCACTAGGCGCCTAGCTACTACTCTCTTTCTCCTAGAATTTTATCCTATGTTGCAATCATGGCCAAGTAGACATAATTTGCATTTAGACGTGAACAACCTGTTTCGTGTACCTTAATATAAGTAAATTATTATGGCACAAAATTGTCAAGCCTATTCCTCTGTCACTAAAACCCTGTGGGAATGGAGAGCTTGGGTATGTGATTTCCATGCAATGCGCCATTTCCTCAGGCTAAGCGTGCACTTGCTGGTTTAAATACTGACCCCAGCAACACCACTGCAGCCATACGTTTAACATAACTGCTACTAATACTATGTCGGCACTGCTTGCTAAACGTTATAGGTACACCTGATAAAACTCCAATTTCTGTGAGGGCTTGCTGGAACGCACTGATCTTCCGCATTATATGGTGTCCACCAGTCTGCTTCTTAAATAGAGCTAATTGTATGCCAGTAGAAATAACTGATAACTGTATTGCCTTACAAAGTATTTAGTGATTTTCTGAGAAGTTAATTGCGCTACGTGTGATATACATTTACGATTTAATTAATAAGGGATCAGACAAAGTCTAACAGGGGATATATTATCTGTGTCAATTATGGTTGCGGCCTCTCAGTTGATAGGAAAGTTGCCTATAATTACTACTACTGTTTTTAGTAGCATTGTTATAACTGATGCGCATGTTAGTGGAACCACGATTGGTCCATGAAACGCGTCCGTTACCGGCAGACGCAGACACGGATTTCTGAGGATGTGACTACCTATCACATGGTGAATCAATCGATCCATATGCCCGAGCTGCAAAATACACAATACCTCGTGCGGTCACGTCTTTTTCGTATGATTATGACCGGCATTCTTTCTGTGCTGTGAAGGTCGTAACAGGTGTGGTATCCTTCTCCAGATAGCGTTAACTCGAGACCTTAAAACTAGGCGATTCGTGACGCCGGGATATCGATTAGGCTCATCACTTGTCTCCATTCGATGATCGGGATGAACTAATGCAAATTTTACTAACGAATATATTATGTCAAATAAACCATGCATAGCCCAACGTCGAAGCACCAGTGTACTTGGGGAGAAGCATGATGTGGATATAACGCAATTGCACCTAACTGGCAACGTGTGGCACCGGGAGTTGATATGCGTCAAGCTCTGCTCGCCTAGCTCAATGTCCTAGGGATTACCACAGCAGCCGTCAATCATTATACGCTGAGTTCCGCCTCCAATCCAGGATATCTCTCCCTGCACAGTTCAAACAAGAACGAAACCGTCGGTGCTGGAGTGCCGGAATGGGAGAGGGCGACATCGAATTCCTTCACAATTGGCATAAATGTTGTGTAAACCGTGGCGATCGGAATGCGCTTGGCTACTCTGTGAGGGTAGTAATATCGGTACAACACATTTGTGTGTTCATACTAGGAGGCGGAACAACTAGGACATGTTCTGAAATTAGTATGTGCCAGATAACGAGATGGATGTATTCAAATAAAACATGCTGAAAGCACTGATATATCTAGGGCACGCAACGATAGTCAGTCACTCATGAATGCAATGGTAGTACAATTTTCCTTTTTGGCTGGTGATCATATTGATCCTCAAGGTATGACACGTCATTCTGCTTAGCGTATCACAGATACCCTTGGTTTTCATATCGTAAACGTTCCTTTCGTATTTAAAGTATCTATGAGTTTGGTGCATTAGCCAATCAAGTCAGGCCTTTGGCCGAATTCCTGTTACTATATTGTTTCTGATTTGACAATCCGTGTCTAAAGTATTCGCAGTCATAATTGGTCATCTTCCGTTTCACACTAAATTTGTCGGGTTGCAGGTTAACAGTAGGGACACAATTAAAAGCAGCCGTAATGCAATCACAACCAGGACAAAGATGCAAAGACGGACAATATGAATACGCAAAAACCACTATCCGATTGAACGTGATATTCGTTGCTGCTGTCAAGGTAGGGACAATAAGAGTCAATACAGTTAGAAATGTGGGATTTTCGAGAAAAATTTAAAGTGGCTAAGTGTAACCATAAATCCAAAAGAACTGGTGTATGGTACCGAGTAGCTCAACGTTGATCTACCTTTAAAGTGTATGCATGCGAAGGCTCTAGGCGATACTTCAAACGTCCTTGACTCAATCGGCATCCTGCAAATCATTTCTTGGTTGTTGGAAATCAGTGACCTAACATCAGAAATCGAACGAATTTGTGTCACATTGTGCAAAAGATATAGGTACGCAAAATCAGATCTACCGACACCATACTGCACCAATCGCACTGAATCCTATGTTAGCAGCGAGTTACTCTCAGTGTGAAAGCATGAAGTGCTTAGTGTGACCAGATTATACCATGTGTATTTAGGCTCAATGAACGGTTGCTGTGATTATGTATACTAACCCGCTCGATTATCCTTAACCTTGTCGGCAGTATCGCACACATCTTTCTGTGAATGAAAAATTAATATGCGGCTGTTGGTCCCAATATGATCGAAATTACCAGAACAAAATCTCTCAGCTCAGTGCATTTGACAGATATCTTTGCTCAAAAACAAAACAAATGCAATAGGTCCAATTACGGAGGACACCGTAATTGATGTGATATACACACAACTTGTATTTGTTGTCTTTTTCCAAAACTTGATCTGCAAGGAAAACAACAGAGACGTTGAGCGCATGAAGTTCCAAACCACTGATACCTCACCCCTACTGTTGCACGGAGCTTACAATATAGAAATTGTGTGTCGGATTTTCTATGGCACCGATTGAATTTAGTGGCTTCTAAATGAGAATTAGAAACGAATATAGTGCCGAAGAAGAGAAAAGAATTACCAATCAAATCCTCCATGTTACCTGGTTATATGATGCATTCAGATGGACACACCGACATATGAGTCGACGAAGTTTCCATAGTGAATTTTATCCAATATTCCGAAGAGTTGGCCAGACAAAAATTTAAGGAAAAAGGTAACTTGAATGAACCTCGAAAGTAGAAATAATCCAGTATGAGGGAATACATCAAAGATTCGGTTGTATATCCAGTTCCTCATGCACCCACGGGATACACTTCAATTTGTGTGTCATAATTTTTGCTTGACTGGTGTAATCCCACTAGGAACAGAGTGTGGTGCTGAGTAAAGCATAAAGAAAGAGTTCACTTACCAGTTGACGTGAATCAGCTTCCTTCTTGCTCTCCTCTAACATGCTTTGAACTATTATTTCATGGTTGTGGTTTGCCGGGTGGTAAAATACAATAGGCAATAAAAATAATACACGCAGTGGTTTTTCGAAATTAGCTTACCATCAACACGCGATTCTTGCTTTGTGTCGAATCAACCAAAGCGGGGCTTGAACTAGTAAAATTCGGGTGCAGTGGACTCCAGTTCATAGTGCACCCTGGCCTCCACCAAATTTCTCAGTTTCACAGTGGTTCTTGCGCCAACGTTGTAGCCGTCTTCACGTCGAACAACTGTAGGGAAAATGTGCGCGATGATTTCGTCAGCAAAGCAGAAGATGGGTTTACAGTTGACATTTTAATTATTAATGCTTATATGCCCATGGATTTCAAAAACGCGGTTCCCAGAGGTGGTGGCCCCAACCCTGTAACAGTTTGTACATTGCGGAAGTACCAGGACGACAATATGTGATAAGAAAGAAGTGATGATGGCTGAACAGATGACAGAGGTACCGAAGAACAGAGTAGAATTGCCAATCAAATCCCCCATGTTACCTGGTTCTATAGTGCCGTTAGATGGAAACACCGACATATGAGTCGACTTAGTGTGTAGAGGGAATTGCATCCAATATTCCGAAGAGTTGACCAGACAAAAATTTGAGGAAAACGGTAAGCCGAACGAACCCCAAAAGTAAAAGGAATCCAGCATGAGTGAATACCTTCAAAGATGAGGTCGTGATTCGGTTGTATAACCAGTTCCTCATGCACCCACGGGATACACTTCAATTTGTGTGTCATAATTTTTGCTTGACTGGTGTACTCCCACTAGGAACAGAGTGTGGTGCTGAGTAAAGCATAAAGAAAGAGTTCACTTACCAGTTGATGTGAATCAGCTTCCTTCTTGCTCTCCTCTAACATGCTTTGAACTATTATTTAATGGTTGTGGTTTGCCGGGTGGTAAATTACAATAGGCAATAAAAATGCTACACGCAGTGGTTTTTGGAAATTAGCTTACCATCAACACGCGATTCTTGCTTTGCATCGAAGCAACCAAAGCGGGGCTTGAACTAGTAAAATTCGGGTGCAGTGGACTCCAGTTTATAGTGCACCCTGGCCTCCACCAAATTTCTCAGTTTCACAGTGGTTCTTGCGCCAGCGGTGTAGCCGTCTTCACGTCGAGCAACTGTAGGGAAAATGTGCGCGATGATTTCGTCAGCAAAGCAGAAGATGGGTTTACAG